GACTCTATACAGACGCTGTCCACACCTCAGAGTGTCATCTCATTTGGAAAATATTATTGAAAATAATCCTAATGAAAGAGTTCAGCATCAAATCTCAGGCCTATTAGCAAATCAAAGTTTCTGAAATTTGTTGTTAAATTCAATTTAGGAAAAAAAAAAAGTTCTGTGGTTTGCTCATTATAATTACTTTATAATTAACCTTCCTGTCAGTGGCATTAAAGAGCAAATAAATCCTTTTAATCAGTTAAGCTCTTCATTTATAGATTCTAGTTCCATCTTGAACTGTTACATATTGACTACCTCTATTATTTTGTCAATAATACGTGCAGAATTACATTAAAAGTTCCATAAAACAGCTTTTAGAACAGTTTTTGAAAAAATCATGCAACTGCCCCCAAATCACTTTCCAAATCCAATATTCTAACTTGAAATACAAACTTGTTGATCAATAAGTGCAAAAGCAAAATACAGAAAATAAATTAACACATGAGACCACTCGATCTAAATCTACTGAAGCAAAAAAATCTGAATCCAATGACCATTGGCAAGACCAAGACATGCTACTGATTAAAAAAGGAGTTACCATGTTGGACTTAGTATTTACATAATCTGTTTTTAAAACTTCAAGTCCCTCTGAGATTTTAGAGGACCACACATCACTCACAGAAGTTTAATAAGGCATGAAATCTGAAAAAAAGTAATTTCTTTTTCCAACAGAACATTGCCTTTTTTGTGACCCAAAAAGTGCAAAAATAAACAGGAAAAAATACAGTTTTTTAAAATGATCTCCGAATGCAGTCATTGTTCTGCTATCTGATCAAGAGTAACACCCAAATACTATGGGGAGCTCAGAAAATTTCTTTCATTAAAAAAGTAAGAAAAATAGGAGACAGAATTTCAGTGCCATATGTGATTGCAGCAAAACTGTCCTGTTATTATGCAAAACAGTACACAGGAATACAGAATTTGGCCTCACTAGATCAGAACAGAAGTCTAAGGAAGTTAATGCTCCATCTTTAGAAACTGCCTACGCCTTATACTTTAAAGACTGATGAAGGAAAAACCTAATTTGTCTGAACAATTTGGCAGTGTGATACACACAACAAGAAATAGAGACAATACTTTCCAAACCTGGTGGCTATAAGCCTGTACACTTCAGCATTAAATGTCTCTGTTAGTACTTAATGTCCAGTTGGAATTATGAACTTCACTTTATTGATGAATAGTTACTAAATGATTTAGCCCACAATACACTACATTTCCATATTTTTAGTAAAATTTTAGGTGCATTAAATGAAAGAACTCTTGATATCAATATAAATACACTGGGAATTTGGGCTTTTTTTCCAATAAAAAAAAGACGACTTCATAACTTTTTAGGACAGACATCTCTTTTTAGGCAGTTTTCAGGCCTGTAGCAGAGTGTTTTCTAATTTTTAGATTATGAATACAAGTAGTTGCAATATAATACATTAAAGTTTCAAATAAAAGCCTCACTTCAACCAGCTGAATGATATGGACATGGTATAGCCCTGTGGTATACCACAACTACGGATATATCCGTGGTATAGGAAAACCAGCACGGGTGCATAAGTCTTCTGAAAAAGCACAATTGAATCTTTTAGCTTATTAAACATGAAGGTGCACCTTTTATTTGTCTCCATAAGAATATGTTTTCAAGTTGAGGACAGTTCTTCAGTAGACTGTCCTGGTATATGGTTATATAGTCTAAGAAAAATGTGTTTAAGCTGTTAGAAATTTGGGAGGGTTTCAAGATATAAAAAGCAACATAAGACCCAGACTGACTTTCTTGGCTGATTCTCTTATCAATAAGGTCTAATTAAAACAGCTCTAAATACCTTCATATAAATTATTATTTAATGCAAAATATGCATACTCAAATAAAGAGTAAAGCCAGAATGCTTTGGAATTATCAAGGCAAGAAACCACAAACTAAAGAAGTGAATACTTACTTGTGTGGAGGTTAAGAGGAGTTTGGGGATGCTATAAATATTAACACAGGACAGTGATTGCAAATGCTACATTTACAGATGTCTGCTCTAAACTTCTGTAGCCTTTAATGAAAATCACTGAGCTACATTCGAGCACAAAGATACAACTACCTAAGAATGCTCACAGTCTACAAAACAAAGGTTGCAGATGCACGCAGTTTCCTTGTGTTAAGTAAGGCAGTCTACAAAAACTGCTTCTTACAGTTCAGCTTTCCTTATCATGCTTTCATCAATAAATCAAACTCCACCTCCCTCTTATGGCTTAAGAGGCTCAACAACGTAGCATAAGCCTTCCATTCTCATGGTCCTGAAGATATGGTTAGGACCCCTATGAAGAAGATTAGATACTCTGCATAGGTCTTACTGTGTGTTTTAACATGCAGGTTTTGTGGGTACATTTCCTGGGTTTGCTTCTCATTCAACTAACAGCAATCTTCACATTCTGTTTATTTTACCCTTTCTGTTTTGCAGAACTACAGGCCTCCAGCAGGTCATCACTCTTAACACGGTCACAAAGACTTAAATTTGCAAGCAGAGGACTTGCAAAAGCATCAGACATACAAAAAAATACAACAAATACATCAAAACAAATTCACAAAACCAGTTCAGATTCATAAAACAAGGACCATTTTATAGGAGTTCTTTTTAGGCAGTGTCTCTTTAGAGGCTCATAAATCATCAGTTTACATTGAATTTGAAATAAACATGAGCACAATAGGTAGAATACTGGATTATGAAGATATTCCTTAAAACAAACTACATAAGTTGCACACATTGTTTTAAATGGCAGCAGGCTTAGCTGTCCATTAGTTTCAAACTTAAGTTAGCAGTTACAACTTGCTTAAACTTTCCCAAGCCTTACTGCTCAAAATGAACTGATTTGATAATCAGGTTATGCAGCTTAAAATTTTACTTTATTTTTCAAGTCACTTTACTTATTTGTAGAAAATATTAATTTTTAACTCAGGCATATTTTAATTTAAGAACAGGCTTTGCTTATCAATTTTGCATACTACCATGGTATTCTGTTTGACATTTAAACCTAACAGACTTTTGAGACTTTTCTGAAACACAAACCTCATTATTATGGGCTGGTGTTTTAAGACTGCCATCTAAGAATTCTAAAGAATATTTGTTCTAAATGCATTACTGTTGACAGTATCCCTTACAAACGTGACTCACAAAGACATATTCACCTCATGCACCTCAGTTCATAAAGTCAAGAGCTAGATAAAAGATAAATTTGACTTACTCAAATTACAAAAAAAAAACCAAACAAACAGTAAGGCTACATGATGATAGTTACTTCCCACAAGAATCAAAAAGGGAAGTGAGGTGATTAAAGAAGGTTTGAAGTGGAGGACTTCAGGTTTAGAGCACAGATTCAACCACCTGACAAATTTATGCAGTCATATCAGATGACACTGCTAGGTATAATCTGAAATGCAGCAGTCTAAATTTTCAACACCAATTCTGAAGGCAGAGCTTTTGTTACCTTTCTTTCAGAGAGACAATGTAGGTGTTAATTCTTTTTTTAAGACAAAGCCCCTTTAGAGGACCTTCAAGTGGGCCAACTGAAAGACTCCACGTTCTGAATCACCATTCACATTTGGTAATTTTGCCCAGACTTAGCAGACGGAAATGAGAACAGCTGTTTCTAAACTGGAAGCAGTCTTATTTCTTCAAATTTATATACACATAAAAACCACTACAAGAAACACTACACCTATCCATGTGTCTGTAACACATTTTGAATACTTGAAAATTCAACACAATCAAGGTCTATAAATAGCTAAAGTGTAACTATAACAAAACAACTACCCAAACAACTATGGAAACTGAGCAACTGGGTAAAAAAATTAAAGGATTTCCAAAGGATTTCCAAATTCCAAAGGGAAGAGATTATTTTTTTATTATTATTATTTCCAGTGCCAGAAGTGTACCACATGAAGAATACAGCAGTTAAACTATTTGAGACATGGCAGAAGGAAAAAAGTATATTCAAAAGTCCTAATATCCTGAAGAACAACATATTTCTAAGCTTTATTCTCATACTCTCATGCTAGATTGGGGTAACAGTTCAAACATCCCCTCTGATCTCATCTCTGCTGTTCTAACAGTGACAACCTTTTAGGCAGATACATAATCAGTAACTGGTGTACAAGCCAATATCAATACTTCATGACATCTCCCAAAACCCCACAAACAGACAGCAGACAGTTCAAGGAGATCAAGCTGAATATTATCATACTGTTATAATTCACTGCACAATCAGGTATTGCACTACCATCATCTTCTGAATGTTTTTCATGCATAGCCCTATATTCTCTTACTTGTAGTAAGACACCAGAGCCTTCATCTGACAGGCTTGTCTAATTATGGGGTTAAAAAAAAAGTCTCTGCACAAAGCATGGATGCATTTTTTTTTAACAATTGGTTACATTACTGTTTTCAGTGATTCTAATAAATGTTTTTGAACTGCCCAAGCATGTGGCCAAATTCAAAATCCTAGACGTTTTAGGAAGGAGCTCATGATTTTCAGATCTGCCAGACTTCATTATGTACATGGTTGTTACCTTACGCCCTATGCTATTTAAATTTTATTTTTTATCTCCATAGTCTTGCCAAAAAGAGGACATGTAGTACTTTCATTGTCCCCCAATTTGATGACTCACAGATATCCTTTGAATTCAGGCTATTTTTTCATTAACTTATCACTATACTGATCATGAAAAAAAAAATTGTACATAAAAGTTAACGTGATTATTGTGCTAATGCATTTCAGTTGTTTGCATTAGAGCAGGCTAAATGAGTGGATGACATTCATTACCAAACAAACTTATTTTATCATAAATGCAATCCATTACAACAATAATGGAAATATCACATTCCTTTTAATGCTTTACTTGAGCTTTTTTCTGCCAGGTAAGAATTCTAGTTATGAGCTTCATTGTGCCAAGGACAGACCAGTCTTTTCCAGACACTTACCCTCTGACAGCATGAATAAGTCTCAGTGATGGATAGGCGGTTCGCACTTTCAATTTATTCTTAAGGATTAATGCATTAACCCACTCCACATGCTTCTCTCCGCCTTTGACCATGAAAGCAGGGATCCAAAGGACACTGTCATTCAGCATGGATAGTCTATGCACAAATTTTTCTCTGTCACTCTCATTCCGAAAGCCTCCAAATGCTCTTTGTACAACTGATGGGTTCATGGTAATAAAATCAGATTTAGTTCCCACATCGGCAGCAAACTCCACCACAGGAGCTAGATTGCACCTGAAGAGGAAGAAATTAATGGAAAAATGAAAATAAATATGAAACATTAACTCAGAAAAACGTGTGCATGAAGGGAAAGCTGAAAATGAACATGCAAGCCCACTTCAATTTAACGTGAGAAAAAAATACCAGTGATAATAAGTGGGATAACACTTAGCTTTTTACCCAACTTGGACACCCATTAGACAAATATTTTAAGAACATTAAATGTACATAATGCTGTGAGAAAAAAAAGGTTCTTAGTACCTTTGGAAACCATGTCATCATGCGCTAAAACACATCAACAGCTACAGTAGCACTTATGAATAAGAGTATGCTTTCTAACACCTATTACCTTTCATTAGTGTTCATTTGTCATCATGTTACCAACAGCTTACACTCTTAGAGGAAGTCATGCCAGCCAATTAAGGTATTAATTTATACAGGTTAGTCATTGCATTTTTTTCTTTTTTTTTTTTTTTTTACAATACAATATTTAAATATGATTTGCAAATGAATTTTACCCCATGCTAAATGAGTTTTTGGTATTTTGGTTTGTGGTATTATCACTGCAGCTGATCGAATGTTTTGAAATTTAGTGTTCTCATTACATTTAGAAATGATTTTTTTGTAAAAAAAGTATTAATCTTTCCATCTTTTCCTTGGTGTCTCATTTTCAAACCTTGTTTAATTTTGCAGTAGCTTTGTGCTTTTTTTTCTGGGCTTGAGAAAATGGTCTCATCAACTGTTCAGCAGTTTTTTACCTCATTATATAAATACATATGTATGTAATCACACAGAGGCAGCATTCTCCAATGGCAGCGTTGGATGCAGGTGACAAAATGCAATTCAGAAATTAATTGTGATTTCAGTGACCAGTATGATCCAATTGAAACAAATCACCTCCACATCATCCTCAGTAAATTAGCCTGTAGCTGGTATGCCCCAAATAAATAACCAGACATAATATGTCCGCAAAATTAAAATTTCAGTATTAACAAACTGCTCTGTTGAGTCGAAGGATGCTAAGAAGCAATGTTGGAACCAGGTCCTTCAAAACATTTGCATGTTATTAGACTCCTAATAGAAATAGTATTCTCTCAGTTCTGCAAGTCTTTTCTTGTACAGTAAACTTTTTACTTAAGCTTATCCCCTAGCATCTTCTAATGGACAGATCTCCAATGTCATATAAAAATAAGTGAAGTCAGCAGGGCAGTATTGATTAGCACGAACTGAGGATGTAGTCCTGACTGATAATGCTAATTCCTCAGAACATTATTTTCATTCTGTAATTATCAACTAAAGAAGCAGTCCTATCTTCTTCAGAAATAAATGTTCTGAAGACCATAAAGCCTATATATTCTTAGGAGACAAAGCCATCCAAGTTTCTTAAGCCATGTGGGCAGATGTAAGCTTTCTTAGGAAACGGATTTACATTCTTCAGTATTTTATACGTCTATTCCACAAACCATCTGCATGTATTACAGGCTGCTAAGAGTATTATATTTTAGGAAATGGTAGTTAGGGCACAAAAAAAACTCCCACTGATTTCAATACTGGCTTTGAAAATTGTTTCTAAAAACTTTAATGCATGAACCTCTAACCTGGAATTGTCAAAATCTAAAAATAAAAAAAAAAACAACAACCAAGGACTAAAATTCAACCAATCAAATTCACTGAATTACTGCTGCTCTTGAAAATACCTCTTTTAAAGGCAGACTGCACAACATAATGAAGGATTCATGCACAGCAGGGTTTTCTTCATTAGTCACACATACATCCACATGATGACATCTATTACAAACATAAGACAGAGCTTGACACTGCAAAGCCTGCTCTCTCTGTGTCCGACTTTGAGAAGCCCCAATGTACCAGCAACACCTTGTTTAAAAAGCTGTATGCCATATGCAAACTGTGCACATATAACATAGGCCCTATGCTTCTAATATGATTCCATGTCTTTTGACAGCTCCTCTCTGATCTGCCAACAGCATCAGTGCCTAAATCTTAAACATGTAGGTAGTCTGAAACCAGCATATAAATGTAATTTCACCTAAATCCCCCCAAAAAATCATCGTAGGCATACCAAATACAAGGTCTACCTACCTTGCATATCATTACTGCTTCATCAGTAGTATACTTAATATCAAATATTGTATTCCAGAAAGGTATACAGCATAAGCAGTGTAAATTCTTAATATATTGCCTATTCACATCTTTCAAGTATAACTTCAGAAAGTAATGAGCAATCCAAATACATTCAGTAACAATGGGGTTGTCTATGAACAGTTATTGAACATATTAGTTGCATTTTTCATGCTTTAGTGTCTCAAATTAGACACCTGTTCTTAACCTTTGATCTTTTAAAAATTCAGTTATATATAGATGCATTAGTAGCAGTGCTAAAGTTTGAAACAATGTGGTAAGTACATCTGTGCTTTGAAAGGCTCTCTTTTCAAAGAAGTAACTAGATGGTCTTAGCAGCATACTGCTAAGATTATTTTAGTAGAACACAAATGTAAGACAAGCTCTACACAAATTTCTAGCTCTGTTAAGCAAATAAACATTACTAAATTAGTTGTAGTTGACCAAGTTATAAAAATATTACCCTCATTAAGCTACTTCTCATTTTCTTATATGTTACTTCCTTGAAAGAATGATTTTAGCGCTCATTAAATTAGAAGTTTCAACATTGAATATTTATACTTATCCATAAAGTTGGAAAATATAAAACATCTGCTAAAACACATCAACTAAAATCAGCATATTCTTCGGTAGAGAGTAAATGGAGCAGGTATATCAAAAGTGTTTCCATATGAGCTCAAGAGTTTATGTGCTAGTGATGAACTGCAACACTTACCCTGAGCTGCTAGTACCAGATAATTTATATTTCCAGATGAGTTTAAGAAAACTTTATAGAAAGGTTATCATAGAATCATAGAACAGGGTCAGAAGGGACCTTCAAAGGTCACCTAGTCCAACCTCCTCTGCAATGAGCAGGGCTATCTTCAACTAGTTCAGGTTGCTCAGAGCCTCATCCAACTTGACCTTGAATGTTTCCAGGCATGGGGATCTACCACCTCTCTCGGCAACCTGTTCCAGTGTTTCACCACCTTTATTGTAAAAAATTTCTTCCTTATATCTAATCTAAATGTACCCTCTTTTAGTTTAAAGCCATTACCCCTTGTCCTATCGCAAAAGACCCTACTAAAAAGTTTGTCCCCATCTTCCTTACATGTTTCAGGGCTAACAAAACTAGCTATTGTTTATTTGCATATAGACCTGAGTATATGTATATAGCTTTTGTTACCTGTTTCAGAGCTTTTATCCAAACCTCTAATGCATCTTTACGCTACGCCACAGTTTCATAGAGTTGTCAGAATCTTTAAGTTTATCTTGTTAGCAGACATCAATGACCTGTCAATTCTCAGGACTTTTTCAAGAAAACTTCATATTCAGAGACATGCATAACATACTTATTTTCTTTTAAGTCAAATTAAGAAGCCTATTAACTGAACAACTTTGAAATAGGCAATGCAATATCTTTCCCTCGTTATAGTCTTTAATTCTAGCTCATTTGTCATAAGGCACAGAATGCTGAATATAGTCATTGATGAGGACATGAGGGGGACTCTGTACCACGTTATCATTACATGCCTAGGAATTTGTACACAACAAATGAAAATTTACCTTTTTTCTTTTTTTTTAAGTTATCATTGCTATATAAAATCCATCAGGAAGAATAAATGGAACAGTGTAATCTACTGAGTTTCCTCCCTCTCAGATGTTGCATTATTGACACCTTGCAACTGTATGACTGCTTAAAATTTTACTCCAAAACACAATTGCACAATTTTCTGCAACATAGCATCATCTTTCATTCAAAAAAAAACTTCAGCATTGCCTTCATGTTAGTGAACCTGAAAGTAAGTGGGCTGCAGGTCAAAGCTGAGGAGGACAAACTTGCTATGAGGTTACTTAACACTGAGAATATGAGAGCAGGTTATAATTAACAGTCACACATAGCACTGAAGATTTAGCAATTAAGCAAACAGCTGTAAATATAAGCACTGAGAATATACATCACATTATATAAAAGTTTGTAAACCTCCTTCTCCTGAGCCCAAGCTCTTGACTATTTCCAGAGAAAATGATGAAATGCAGCTTGCCCTAGCAAAAATAATTTTGCAAAATAATGGCTTTCATGACTTCCTTTGGTTTCTTTCTTTTCCCCATATAAAAATTCACTGTAAGTGTATTCTTTAAAACTGACAAGGTTATTCTTTCTATATAACATTGTTTAATCAGAAGCTCTAACTCCTTTTTTCCCTTGCACTAAACTAGCCAGTAAGTCATGATTTGCTCCCTTATTACTTCTAGGCACTATCTACAGTAGAAACGTTCAGAAACTGGTCCAAATAGGACAAAGATTGGTACATTTGGGTGAGGGGGTTAGGAAAAATCCTAAGTGGGAAACATTCATAATCTGTGTAATTGGTAGTGTCATAGGCAATAATATGCACGATACCTCAAATTAATGCTGCTGTCCCTGTTTGTCTGATGACATCAGCCCAGACCATCCAAAACCTCAGTGCAGCCATTTCAACAGGGTAGTTAGTCTAAACTTACTATTAGGCATCAATTATATGATTTAAATAACCAGTAAGTTCACAGGGCGACTTAATTTACATAGTATTGGTTTATAATCAAGACATAGAAAGGCAAATATATAGATATAAAATATTTATAGTAAAAGTGCAGAGGTCCCCATACACAAGCTTTCAGTGTGATAGCAGAAGATTTTCAACAGGAAGATGCACTGTGATGGTATCACTAAAAAGAGATCTGGGATAAAAGGGAAAAATTACTTCATGAAATATCACATGGCATTTAGGTATCTGAAGAATAACTGAGGGCTTAAGATACGCAGACCAAAAAGTCTCAGTGATTGAAAACCTGCTTCTTCCACAAATGTCTGTTGCATATGTTAGTCACAGTGGGATACATTAAGAATGAGTGTG